GCCTTCATCACAGCCTGCAAAGAAACTATTGGATATCAAACCAAGAAACATCAAGATTGGTTTGACGTAAATGTCAACGAGATCCTAAAGCTAAGAAAAGGAAAGCCTTCCAAACATGGCAGAGAGACGTCAATTGTGCTGCTAAGAAAAAGATCTATGCCAGTGCAAAAGCTGAGGTCCAAAGAAGGACAAGAGAACTCAAGAACATCTGGTGGACAAAGAAGGCCGAAGAAATCCAACACCTGGCAGATACCCATAATGCTCAGGGATTTTTCAAAGCCACAAAGGTCATCTATGGACCAAGAAACCATGGCATACAACCTCTACGCTCATCAGATGGAACCAAACTTCTGAAGGACAAAAAATCAATTGCACTACGCTGGAAAGAACACCACCAAAGCCTCCTGAATCGCAGCTCCACTGTGGCCAAAGAGGTTCTTTCACAAATCCCACAACAACAAACCAGGGATGAGCTTGCAGCTCTGCCTAGTCTGGAAGAATTCAGCAATGCCATCAGTGTTGGTACTCAGCCTGTGTTTCACCCTGAATCTGTTATAGTGTTTCCCCCTTCTAATGTTTCTGAGCCTGTCTTGGATGTCAATGAGGATGAGGTGCAAAATGGAGACACTTTGGACAATAAGGTTAGTACAGATTCTGATCGAGAAGGGTCAGGGGAACGGCTAAGTTCTCATGAGAAAATTCCAGGCTCGGGTTTACAGGAAAGTTCACTCCCTTCTCCAGGCTCGAGCCTCCAAGATAGTTTCACACCTGCAGTTAATGAAGAGATAGCTAAGACCAGTCACCGGCTGGAAATTAGCCGAAACAGTAGAGAGGCCCAATGTTTACACAGGTCAGAAAGAATTCGGCAATTACGGCCAAAGATTGGAGGGAGTAGAAATCAGTTTCTGGGACTTAAATTGAGCTCTTAGGGAAATTTCTTCAGACTAGGCATCGTTTGATTTCAAGTCAAGTCTTTTGGATATTCTTGTGGCCTAGGTTTCCTAGCTTTACTAGTGGATTAGCAATGTCTATGTTCATGGTTTTTATAGAAGGCATTTGATAGGTCTTTGCATCTGGATTTAAACAGCAAGGTTTTGGATCTTTGATATTATTCCTATGTTTGGACACTGTTTGTTTATTTATTTATTTATTTATTTATTTATTTATTTATTTGCTTTATTTATATATCGCTTTTCTCAGCCCTCAGGCGACTCAAAGCGGTGAACAACATCAATACAAAACATCACGAGACATGTATAGGGCAATTAAAAACAATTGTAACATAAATCATTAAACATCTGTATAACAATCATTAGTGCCTCAACAGTAAAATCAGAATCCAGTCTCATCATCCATTATTCCGTATTCCCATGTTCAATTACAGTTTTATCTTACTGCTTATTTGGCTTTTTGCTTTTGGACTTTTATCAACTTTATATTCCTCTCTTTTATTGGCTCCAATTATTCTTCAAATAAAGATGACTCTTTTTTCATCCAAGGTGTGGTGTATTTAATGATTAGAGGGTCCTGTTCCTACTCTGGGGTGCAACAATCAGCCAATAACAAAGTCAGCGGACTTGATGGGATCCCTGCTGAAATCTTTAAATAGGGAGGACCTGAGCTGACACAACAACTCCACTAGCTCATCAGGCCCATAGCCAGGATTTTGTTTGGGGGGGGGGGTGAGTTTTTGGAGGGGGCTGAGTCTGAGTGAAAGAGGGTCTACCCTAGCAAACCTTTTGTATCGTTACCCCAATACCCCCATGCATATGGGATAGATTGAGCATGGTGATCAGATCATGATATGAATAAACATAACAGTTTAAATAATGCACCAGTAAGGCCTTTTCGCGAACCACCATGAGAAGCCCCTCAAGCCCCCCCCCGCCACCAGCTCATAGAAAAAGTGTGGGTGACCGAGAAAATCCCAGCAGATTTCAAGGACACCACCATCATCACCCTCTTCAAAAAAGGGGAAAGAACAGACTGCGGAAACTATCGAGGTATCTCCCTTCTAACCTCCGCTGGGAAAATCCTCGCAAGAATCCTTGCAAACCGCCTTCTACCCCTCTCAGAAGACACCCTCCCAGAATCCCAGAATGGCTTCCACCCCTCCAGAGGAACCGTGGACATGATCTTCATTGCACGACAGCTCCAAGAAAAATGCAGGGAACAAAATCAACCTCTGTACATGACATTCATTGACCTTGCAAAGGCATTCGACACAGTGAATCGCAGCGCTCTCTGGACCATCCTCGGAAAAAAATGGGCGCCCTAACAAATTTGTGAACATCCTGCAGCTCCTCCATGATGACATGATGGCAACAGTCTTGGACAGCAATGGCTCCCAAAGTGACCCATTTAAGGTGGAATCAGGTGTCAAACAGGGATGTGTTATTGCCCCAACTTTATTCTCCATCTTCATCGCTATGATACTTCATCTTGTTGATGGGAAGCTTCCCACCGGAGTGGAAATCATCTATCGGACAGATGGGAAGCTATTTAACCTCAGCAGACTGAAAGCCAAAACCAAGGTCACAACAACATCTGTTATAGAACTCCAGTATGCTGATGACAACGTCGTCTGTGTGCATTCAGAAAAAGACCTACAAGCCATCTTTGCAGAAGCATACGTGAAGCTCGGCCTGACATTATACATTGAGAAAACCAAACTGCTCTTCCAGCAGTCACCAGCCAATCGCTCTCCAATGCCAAGAATACAGCTTAATGATGTAACATTAGAAAATGTTGACCGTTTCCGCTAC